TTGTTTAAATAATTGGTGTTATTTAATTGTTATTAAAAGAGCAGTTTCTGGATGTTAGAGCAAAGCGATCCCAGAACCATAAAGTCATAGTTGTCCTAAAGATCTCAGGTAGAAAAAAAGGATGTTACTGAAAGAGGTGATAGTGGGAAGGAATACAAAAATAAAAATAAGAATACAGAAATAAAAAATTAGGGAGACAGGGCGTTTATTTTTAACAACATAATTAAACAGCAAGGCAAGAATTTTTAAATGTAATTTGGAGTAAAAGATTTTTCTAAAAGAATGAGCAACAGAACAAGTTTAGCAATAAAACGGGGCCACTGTCTAACTGGAGAAGCACGTAGGAAACACAAGTTGCCTGGGTAATGGTATGTTTTTAAAAAGTGTCCCTCGTTGGACATTGATGTGGTAGTATGGCTCAGTATTTGGGTGGAGGGCATCCTAGAATTCTCTGACCTTGCCACGTTAAGGGAATTTTCTGAAGTTGTGATTTCCTTTGATAACACTTGTTCAAGTCAACCAGTATTCACAACATGGGAAAAGGCTGGTAAATGTTTTTTTAGCAGAATTTCATTGAGAAGTGTCTAGGATAGCTTTCAGGTCAGTGGTGGAAAGTCCTAGTCACAGATGTCCTGACTCCAGGAGGGTCACAGCACTGCTGATGGAGCTACTCAGTGCTGCACAGGGTAGAAATCTTAGAAAAATTCTCTGCTCTAGAAAAGTCAAAAGAGTAGGTTACTAGTTCAATGGCCAGTTTTGTTTTGAGTTCATCGTGCAACATGAGGGAGGACGGTCTTCCCATAGAAGATAGGTGCCTGATGTAAGAAAATGAACTCATTACATGTAAGAACATGTAAGAAAGGGACATTTTGAAAAGAACTGGAGGGCAGTGAAGGAACTTATGAGTCAAAGAGCACAGATTTGACACTGTCTTTCGAAAGAGAATGACTACATGCAAAAACGAAAACAAGAAGAAAGAGAGAAGATGAAAACCCAGGCAAGCATACCAGATACAAAGCTCTTGTTTGCTCCAAGACCTTCGTGCCTCACTGCGTGTACTGTATTTCCACATGCTGGGATTCACATGCTGGATCAGGAGGAACCGACCTCAAAATAAGTCACACAGGGTTTTCTGGCAATTGCCCTCAAAAGGAAAGGGAGTGAAGTTGCCTCTTTTTTCTGAACACAGATCTTAGAGTTCTTCAGGGAAGTGGGAACTGCCTCATGAATTTTCTCAGACTGGTTTGGGCTGGAACAAAGCAGTCATGAATAGGGCCAGTAAAGTGCGTGTACTCAGATGGTTTCTTCTCCTTTCAGTGATTAGACTGCAGAGATAGTAAATAAAGGGTTGAGTGTGACTACTCGCTGCGTACTGACATACGATTTATAATTGTGAGTCATGGGGACATCTCCAGGGATGGCTGACAAAGCCTCAAAAGGCAAGAAAGACACACCACATGGTGCTGGCCTTATTTGGCAAGGGAAAATGGCTATCTCCTCGTGGACTGACCTCACATAATTCTGGATGTCAGACATAATTTTTTAAGACCAGGGTCTTCAAACCGCTCCCATCTCATCAGTTACCACTGACATGGTGGAAAGGTGCCACTTCCACAGCTGGATGCAGCCAGCATGCGAACGGAGAAACTGCACATCCAAACGCAGAGCCACAATGCTCCAAAGTGGAGCAGAGTACTCCTGGGCCATGGCCACAAAGAGGGCAGTTTGGTCTGCACCATTGGCCAGCAGTGGGCCATACCCTGGAGCCAAGTCTATCTTCTCTTACCTAGACCCCTTTGACTGCCAAACAGTTCTGGGACATAACCAGACTTTCGATGGCCTACAGATCTCCAAGAGAACTGAGCACAGGATTTGTACCAAATATGCCAAAGAAATGGTGTAAGTAGCCAACACAAATTGGGTAATTCTCCTTCCTCCCCTCAGTCTCCTGGACACCGGCTCCGAGGATTGGCGTTTGCTGGTTAAAGGCATCTTGTAAAAAAGAGGAAGAGGAGCTGCTTGCAGCACCGAAGTTTTGGTGGCCTGATTCATGATTCAGCAACTCTCCAAAAAGCAGCTCGTGTAAGAGAAGCCGCTCATCACGCTTGGTGACCTCCTTCCGCAGGGATGGCGGGTGTGCATCCCTCTGCAGACCCACAGGATGCTCCTTGGGCAGCCAGCCCCAGCAGCACGCCTTATCATAGAATCATAGAATGGTTAGGGCTGGAAGGGACCTTCAAAGGTCATCTAGTCCAACCCCCCTGCAAGGAACAGGGATATCTCCAACTAGATCAGGTTGCTCAGGGCCTCGTCCAACCTGGCCTTGAACGTCTCCAGGGATGGAGCATCCACCACCTCTCTGGGCAACCTGTTCCAGTCTTCTACAACTCTCATGGTAAAAAATTTTTTCCTAATATCCAATCTGAATCTACCTCCCTCTATTTTAAAACCATTACCCCTTGTCCTATCACAACAGGCCCTCCTGAACAGCTTCTCCCCATCTTTCCTGTAGGCCTCCTTGAGGTACTGGAAGACCGCTAGAAGGTCACCCCGGAGCCTCCTCTTCTCCAGGCTGAACAGCCCCAACTCTTTCAGCCTGTCCTCATAGGAAAGGTGCTCCAGCCCTCTTATCATCTTCGTGGCCCTCCTCTGGACCCTCTCCAACTGGTCCATGTCCTTCTCCTGGAAGACAGCAGCCAGAAAACCATGCAGGATCATTGAGACTTCTGTCCTGCCCGCTCCAAATCCCACCCATAAGGGAAGGCAAGCGGCGTTATCTGGTGTTTTTGCCTGGTTTTATTTCTCTCTCACTCTTATTTTCAGTTCTGGTTTTGGCCTTCGCTGCCGTGGGACAGTCGTTGCAAAACACGCCCAGCTACAGAAGGGCACTCGCTCTGCTTCACTTACATCTCCAGTTGCTAAAATATTTTAATTTCTCCTCTTACACACCTGCACTGCATCCAAAAAGTAGGGCTATCCTTTTTTTTTTCTTTTTTTGACTTGACCGTAGGCAAAAATCCTGATTGACAGGAGGGAAATATGACTGCTGAGAAGGATTTGATGGACTTTCCAGTGGCTCGGCACGGGCAATTTTTTGGGGGGCAATCAGTTGTGTGGTTTAATTCAGTGGGGCCCAGCCTAGGAGGAAAAACCCTGGATAAAAGTTCACAGTGTAGAGGAGGGGTTGGATCAAAAAGAAAATGACCTCTGTCTACAACAAGGGATTCTGCACAAGCCCTCCCTCCTCTTCTGCTGTGACAGGTGGATCACAAAGACGTTCACCTACATCCTCTGAGATGTTTGGGCTTCTTTCTCCCCTTTCCCAAAAAAAGGCAGGATGAACCTGGGCTGGAAAAAATATCATTCACAGTTCCATACATTACGGTACACACATGAAAAACATGTCAGTGGATTGAGGGGAGTTCTGCATTAAACAGGAGAGACTCCTGCTCCCAGAGACATGGGGTAAAGGTAAAGACCCAAGTGAACCAGCTTAAAATAAAACATGACAAAAAAACAGGAAATTATCAGGAAGCTGTACCACCAGTCAGGACAGCAGACAACCACCTCCCTGTTTTTAAGTAGTATGAGAGTTGAAGAGTCTTTACATCTGCTCCTGCAAAAGAGGATTCTTTGGAGCTGTTGAAAGGAGGAGAGTGAAGGACACAAGAAGGACATGGAGCTGTTGGAGCAGGTCCAGAGGAGGCCACGAAGATGATCCGAGGGCTGGAGCACCTCTGCTATGGAGACAGGCTGGGAGCGTTGGGGCTGTTCAGCCTGGAGAAGAGAAGGCTCCGGGGAGACCTTCCAGCACCTTCCAGTGCCTAAAGGGGCTACAGGAAAGCTGGAGAGGGGCTTTGGACAAGGGCGTGGAGTGACAGGACACGGGGCAATGGATTTAAACTGAAAGAGGGCAGATTTCCATTGGATCTAAGGAAGAAATTCTTCCCTCTGAGGGTGGTGAGGCACTGGAACAGGTTGCCAAGAGAAGATGTGGCTGCCCCATCCCTGGAAGTGTTCCAGGCCAGGTTGGATGAGGCTTTGGGCAACCTGGTGTAGTGGAGGGTGTCCCTGCCCATGGTAGGGGGTTGGAACTGGATGATCTTTGAGGTCCCTTCCAACCCAAACCATTCTGTGATTCTGTGATTTTGGCAGGGTGGTGTGGAGGCTTCTGCCAGGAAAAGGCACAGGAGAAACACAAAGGCTCTGCTAAAATGCCAACCAGCACCTGCAGGCCAGTCAGATGCAGGTGCCATTCTCTCACCAGTGCATGGGAACGACATTCGGCTGTTTACTGGGATCACAGACCCTTACACCACAGGAACCCAGAGCAGCCATAGGAGTGTTTTGCTTATGAGATGACTCACAGGGTTTTTTTTCCTTTTTTTCTAAACAGATACCAGTTTTTCTTGACCACAAATTATGTGCTGTTTAGCCTCAGCTCTGTAAACCCTACAGGATTTCTCTCCGTTGCCTTTTACTGTCATGAAGGATAGGTTCCTGTTACAGATCTGAAGGTCACACACTTCATGGCTTCCGGCAGCTGACATCATTGTGTCATCTCCCCCACCTCCTCCTTCTGTGTCACCCTCTCCTCCCCCTCTACTTTCAATTCCCCCATCCTCTTCCCCACGCCGCCGGGCCAAGCACGCTCCCCATTCCTCTTTCCTCGGCACCACGCGTTTTGGGTGCTCGTCCTGTCCCTGCAGCCCCAGGGGGTCCGTGTTCCTCCCATGGCATACCCTGTCTGCAGCAATCTTGCACCACATCACCTTCTCTGTAAACCAGACAGCTCTCATGGCACACTTCTTGTTGCTGAAGGCTGCGAAGCACACCGAAGTGCTAGCACCGGTCCATGGGAAAAGGTGAGATGAACTTTCTCAAAAGTCTCTCTCTTGTCGAAACTTCTTGTTTTACCACTTCTTTGGGAGTACTGGTGAAGGCACTGGAGTGTTTTCAGCCTCTGACATCCTTCTTTCATTCTTCCTTCTTACAGCACCATGGAGGTCTGCATACTCTTCCTTTACGTTATGATACTTCTCCCAGGTAAAAGACTCATTTTTAATTGTAGAAACTGTTTTGATTATTTGTGTCCTGCTGTGTGATACTTTCTCACCCACTAAGAAGCTCATTCCTTAGCAGTCATTAATCATTTCCGTCGCACAATCAAGGTCATACAGCCTATGTGACACGTATTTAAATCGTGTGCAGGGACTCTATAAAATATATAGTAAGTACTTTCTCTCAACTTTATATCTTTATATTACACTTATTTTATGTTACTCTTAAATTTTCGATTTAAGTCTATCTTTAAAATGTGTGTATATGACCTCTGTATATTATAGAGAGTAGTATTAAACTGAAAACTGACAGTTTGATATGGGAAAACTGGAGTTTTAGGCAGCCACGG